AGATCAAACCATTGTGCTCTACCCATCAACTGCCCCACAACTTCAGCAATAGTGCATTTATAGACCTAAAAGGCTCCAACCTGTCATTAAATAAATGCAGTCAGCAATTGTTTCCCCGTCCGATTTCTAATGATGTAACAAAAGAGAATTTTTGGAGCAAAATGTCCTACCTTGCCGGAATCTTCTCAAAGTTACACTTGCTAACCCTACGCCCTGCCCGCTGCCATGGCCACATCCGAGACTGTAGGGTTCTTAATTCTGAACTCACACTTTGAACTACGTTGAAAACCGAGCGGCCTGAAAACAACAGGCTGGCCAAAGAAATCAAAGAGAACCAGTCAAAAAGAAGGCTATTTTACCATGCAATCAAGTGAATAAATTCAGAACACGAGGCCAAAAGGGAACGGTCTATTCATTACAGGGTAACAGAACTGTCAAGTTCAATGAGCCCACCGGAACAACTTGATACTTGAGAATGGGACCACGACGCAGTTGAGATCTCCAATGGCCGGTTAAATTACGTGAAGACCCCTTCTTTACAATCATTCTCTCTGGAGAAATCGAATACAGCTTTGAAACTGTATAATTACAGATAGAAGGGGATGAATTACCCAGTCAGTTCGCATTGACGATGTCCTCTGAATACGGATGGATGACTTGCAGTCCAACTGCCACACTCCGCGGATAGACCAACAACCGATCCGCGCACCTCAGCAAGCTAAATCACGTTACCTGTTACCTTCCAAATTGAGATGGATAATGTCGGTACTCCGATTTTGAAATAAATCTGGTTTATAAACTCAGATCGCTAGGTGAAAAACGAGATCAATATTATCAAAATTGTGATGCATTTGATCAGGAAAATTTCACACAGAAATGACATGTCAAGCTCTGTAGTTCAGTGCTGAATTGTTGGTGGCTGTCTTTTCTAATTCTCGTCAAGCTCTTGTGGATCCAGCGTTAACACTAGTTCGTTAATAAAGGACCCAGCGAAAACGTCACAAATTTTTTATTGCGGGTTGTTGTTTTTATAATTCAATTTTTAGCGCAACTAATTTCTGATGAGCATCCCAACCAGCTAGTAGCATGAATAAAGTTCCGGTCCGCTTTATTCGTGCAATAAAACTAGCCCGACCAACTGGTTTACAAAAATTCTCTTCAACCCTGTTTTTTCGATGCCATGTATAAGCTTCAAAGAAAAGTCTGCCTGTGGTGGGATAATAAGACATTTATGCCAGTGATGCCCAATTTCAGATAAGCGCAACTAGCCAGGATGTAACGTGATTTTCCTTTACAGTTTGAACAGTATGCAAATCTAGTGATGGGGGACCCTCTTTAATAAAAGACATGCATTCAGTGATTCTTGATTTCGTCGGGAGCATCCAGAGCACTATAGAAAAACTAAAGCTTCATCCACTGGCTACTTTTGTTAAGCTCAAAGGTAGAACCTATGGGAAACGCAGATCGTGAGTTATGAAATTTGCATGCCTGCCTAGTCAACCGACGTTTCGTCAGATTTTTCCACGGACACACAGCTGAACGGATAATCCTTTCTTCCATCAATATCTTTCCAAAAATGAGGAAGGAAATCTCTTTTGAAAACAGATGCCGACCAAATCAAGCCACGACAACCCTTGAACAATTAAATACCCAAAGCCGACGATGAGCACATTTAAATAAACTTCGATCAAACCAATTGTTAGGGGGTTCCAAAATTCCAAATACATGACAAAAAGCCAGATTTATATAAAATTTCCTTGGTTCGAGCTGCGGTTCCGAAGAACTTCTTAGTGTTCAACTGAACGTCGGTCATATGAGCGCAAGGCCACTCGAGAAATGTGCCAGTCTAATAGCATCTGGCGCCAAGCCGGTAATGACGAGGGAGCTTAACTTTTCCGTAGCATTCGGTGAATTCAAATGCAATGACGCCTGGCGATCCATTGATTACCCAGCCCCGAAGTTCTTAGACTGTGACTCGACTGCTTATCTGCTGGTAAAAAATTGTGACAGATGGCGGTGATAAGTTCAAAGACATACTGCATTCGGGTGGTTTCGCGGTCAGTGAACTCACAGTCAGGCAGGAGGCCGGTCAGATCTTTTGTGCTGCAGTGACACTCACGCCCACGACGCAAGATACCCAGCGCCTCAGGAGAACACAAGTCAGTAACGCAACGACAGAGGAGGGGACGTCCTTTTGAACGAACACTAATTTAGTTCGTATCCCGTGGGGGTTCATTAGCCGCGCAACGCTCTTAGCTTATGAGCGGAATAAAACTTTACGCCATTTTGTTGCGTATTTGCCCAAACCAAACACTATCCTATTCTACCTTCACAGTTTTGCAGCTGTAGTGGTCTTGCAATCAAATAGTTACTTTTCTAGGGGGTGTGGTAAAGAAATGAAAATAATAACGCTAGGTTGAGTTTACAATAATAAAGACGTCAGATGCAATGCTCGCTGACGATAGTTCTCTTTAAAAGAGTTTGTCGTTGGCCCAGGTCAGAGAGTAAATGATAATCGAATCATTGTTGTCCAGGGTCTTCCTCTGAGCGGTTGCCACACGTAATAGATTCCACTTATAGTCTAGAATGCTTTGATAACAGAGATAATACATGAGACTCGTGAATGAACGCTCTAGGTGCAAGCCAAATCGGAAGGGAGAGTCCGGGCACGTGACTACGTTTATATTGCGTGAAATCGTACAAGTGCGCGGTTTTTAGTTCTTTGTAGCCGAACAAAAAACGGTTATGCAATTGGCAAATCATGTAATGTTATAATGAAAGCAAAATAAAGGTACAAAACATCACTCCACTGCCCCACTAGAGCGTTGACCGTGAAAGGGGAAAACGCTCAACTAATGAAAGTAATGAATCAGAAAGTTGCTCAAATCAAGTTTCATTATCAGCTAAGGGATTAGGGAAACGGACCCTTTTTCCGGAACGACAAGTAGAAAGAACGAGGGTAGAGGTAGAGGTGCCCCCTGTAGTTGCGGGTGCTGGTGGGATATCAGGATTACTGGATGTGGCCGTGAGTGCTTCAATAAAGACAGGTTTCAGATGAACAATAGGGCCGGTATCATGCTTTCCGCCTCTTTCTAAAACGAAGTATTTGGAATGACGTTCGATGACCGTGAGGGGACCACCATAGAAGTGTTAGAGGGGTTTCCTCGTTGCGTCATGTCGGACAAGTACAAGTGGTCTGGGAGAGATATCAGTTGAGATGTGTTCCTTTCCCGTTGATCGTCTTGTCGGTGTCGCACGAAGTTCAGACATATGATGTTTCATACGGTTGACGAATGTGCCAGGTGATTAGCGCTGTGAGCCGGAAGGGGAAACCAGCTCGCCGGACAAACGCAAAGTTGTACTGTATGGTAGATAGTGAAGATCGTCATAAATGGTGGAGCGAATGGCACGCAAAATGAGGGGTAAAGAAGGGGACCATGGAGATGGGTACATTTGGGCAGTCAATCATCTTCGAGGTAGCGATGGAAACGCTGAACAAGACCGTTGGGACAGGGGCGAAACGCAGCTTTCGAAATGTGATGGAAGCCGAATCGTGTAGAATACTCATGGAAGAGATTAAACTGATATTTCGAGCCGCGATCGGTAGTAAAGTTGGAAGGTATGCTAAAGTTATCCCCCAGTGCTACAAAAACGAATAGGTTAACGTTTCAGCTGAAGTATCCGAAACGGGTGCAGCTACTGGCCAACGGGCGGAACGATCGATCGTGGTAAGAATATGAGTGAAACCGTTTGATGAGGAAAGTGGACCAACGATATCAAGATGAACGTGTGTGAATCGAGCATCAGGAACTGCAAATGAACCAATAGGTGAGTTCGTACGTTACTGCGTTAGCAAACGACGCACTATTTGGCCAAGATTCCTGGATTTTCATTCATGTGGAACCTTACAAAACGTGCATTTTTCAGGCTCCTTGTTGCCCCGGTTACTGAATGAGAAGCCCATGAAAGTGGCCGAAAACAAATCGGGGACGACTGGGCGATCTGTGCCGGTAGACATATCACAAAATTCGTCATAGATTGGAAGTGTAAGGGAGTTGAAGAGACTTGAAATGAAGGGAAGGATAGAATGGACGAAAAATTAGGAGGACCGTGCCGAAGGTTCGCCAGCTTGTCTAGGTCCGACTGCGTGGAAGAGTGAAGAGTGTTGATATCTGGACGGGATAGGGCGTGTGTGACGGCATCGCCTGATCCTAGAGTGTACCGAATGTCGGTAGTGAATTGTTAAATGTAGTCCAGATGACGTACCTCACGTGGTGAACAGCGATGGGGCCTAGCGTTGAGAGCATACCTAAGTGGCTTATGGTCGGTTTGAATGGTAAGTGACCTGCCTTCTAACAAGTGCCGGGAATGACGAATAGCAACGTAAATGGCAAGTAATTCGTGACCAAAAGTACTGTAACACGTTTGTGCAGCCGGCATCTTCTGCGAGAAGAAGGTTAATGGTTGAAATACGTTGGTAACAGCTTGATGGAGTACGACACCGACAGCAGCTTTCAAAGCATCACTTGTCCAAAAGTACTGTAACACGTTTGTGCAGCCGGCATCTTCTGCGAGAAGAAGGCTAATGGTTGAAATATTTTGGTAACAGCTTGATGGAGCACGGCACCGACAGCAGCTCTCAAAGCATCACTAGTCAAAATAAGCCTTGTGTTTTCGTGGGTATCAAGGAAAGACAGCTTTGTGTCGTAAACGATGGCTTGCTTGGCTCTTTCTAAAGCAGCTCACCGAATTTCAATATCCTCTGTGGCGAACATACCTCTGGTGGAAAAAGTCGGTTGGGATACATTCCTGACATCGCTGATACCCCAGGATGCCCAGATGAAACTCAAAAGATTAGACCTGTACTTCGAACTGAATTGCCTGCCTCCTTTTGTCCAGCAAGGACGCGTTGTAGCTTTTGAAACTTCACTTCCATTTTGCGAATACTGAGCGCCTATCCCGTGCGAAAATGAATCGTGCAAAGCAACTGTATCGTGACCATGAAACGTAGCTGCCGTGTTCCAAAGTCCCGTCAGAAGACAACATTTCAATATCTCCATGCTCAAGCGGGTATTCTGCGCAAGGCCAAGTCAATGATCCTCGCAGTCCAGGAGACGGGAACAGTAGTCCTCCAAACTAACGGAAATGTGTTGCCCTGTGAACCGCATCACTGCATGACAGAAACCAATCCTAACAACAAATCCTGGGACATGCCCAAAACCCTCCAGTTGGATATGTCTGGAGGCCACGCCCTCAGGATTAACGGGAAATCCATTCGGCTGGACGAGTGTACGGTGTAACAAGCACGAACTGGTGAAGGCATAAAACGATTGGCCAGAATGTGGGTCAATTAGGATCAAGCAATTGTAGTTGGGTTTTCCTCATCCACCCCATAATTTTGCAGCAGGCCTCCCACTTAGCTCGATGATTACCTTTTTAGTACAGTTATGGAAACCATCCCTTGTTTCCGTCGCAGGCCGGCTTGAGCTAGTCTCTCGCCCTGCGGTGCTTTCTCCGGTGCGGATTGATACACAAGATCGAGGCTTTTGCCCAGGTTTCCCGGGTCGGTTTTGTTCTTGCCGGTCAGTTGCTGTCGTTCATCTGAAAGGCACAAGTGAAAAAAGGGTGTAGCACTGCCCATTATGTTCTCAGCGCGGGGCAGTATGCTTGCCAGCACGAGGGTTCGCATAAATAAGTGTATAATAGTGCTTTAAACTGGGTTCTAGAATGAGCGTGAACAACAGTCGGGGGAATGCCATTCCACGAACCTACTCCCGAAATGAGAAAAAATTTGCCTAATAACTGTATGTGCTCTGAGCTTGAAATTTTCTGACTATGTCCCCGCCGTTTTTTTGCTGGGTCAACGGTAAAAAACCTGTTTGCCAAGCAGTGCATAAGTAAGAATTAGATCCCCTCGGTGGCGACGGTACTCCAGGGAAAGAGATCAAGCGTCGCGAGTTGCGTCTCTTAGTCCATGGATTTGAGGCCGGCAACCATTCGCGTGACGGTTCGCTGAACACGCTCAATGATGGTGAGGTCTTTCGTGCGTCGCGA